TAACGCAACCAGTTTTCTATATCAAACGCACAACTTCTATTCAAATTATTTTTATGTCCTTATTTTTATTTTATATAATATCTTTTTTTTTATGTGAGCACTTATATAACCATGCTCCATGCAATTAAAAATTCTTCTCTAAGATATGGATTCATAAAAGCGCTGCTCGAAACTAGTTCTWATTGCTTGAGCGCAGGAAATCCGCTGCGAGCAATAAATGTCACAGCATGAGTAACTTCTAAAACGTCGTTTTGGTTTTCTAACTAAGCAAACAGTGAAGCTGTAGCCGGTTGGCTGACTGACTTTCATTGTTTMAATATAATTATTGCATTTATTTAGTTGGGTTTCAGATATACACAGCTATTTATGCTTATTAATAAAAGTAAGTATGCCTTTAGCCACGGAAAAGGCGGTTCATTGGCATCTAAAACAMTGGAGAGATGCAAGCAGGCCGCTTGCTGGCAGAGCTTTTTAATTGCGCGCATAGAAAACGAGTTTTTTGTCTAATGCTCTTTCAACTTTTTCCCAGATAATCTAAGCAAAGTTAAGCCAATAGTATTTAAATAATTTAAGTAGTTATGTATAAATATGTACGCATATATTTAAGTGTAGATATGTATGAATGTATATGTACATATGTATGTATGTCACGTGAACTTTGTTTCGAGTTATCTAGATTAAAGTAAACATCTTAGGAACGCGAAAGGTTTGTTCACCCAGTTTTCAGTTTAGTAAATTTGTTCATGGCATCACAATAGCTATCAAATAATATGTATGTATATATATATACCTAACTACAAATATATATGCTGTGTTGCTACTCACACTGTGCTAAACTCGGATTGTCGACGAAGACGGGCGTCGCCTGTGCTGGTGTTGCGCTGTCGCTGAGCAGCAGTAGAAACGCCAGCAGCGGCAGYAGTGGCAGCAGCGTTGCCGCAACAGCTTTTAATGTTTGCCATAGTTTTGTATTGTTGTTGTTGCTTTTGTTGGGATGCAGGTGTTGCTCATGTTGTTTGGGCTGCGTTGCGTCGCTCAATGCATTTGCTGCTGCTCTCATCTTTTCTCTTGTTGTTTTTGTGTCGCAAGTGGTTGTTGTTACTGCTGCCGCTATTTTGTTTGCATTACTTGCACTATATTTACTTGACATGCTTGAAGTTGAATTCCTGTTTGACGTTGTGCTCGTAGCGGTGGCTGCTGTGGCATGCGCAGTTGTGTGGCAGGCAGGCGGTGGAAAAGAGGCCGGTTTTATTTGACGTATTGTGCCCATCTGAAAAAGTTTGAGAAGAAACAGGAAGTGTGATTTAAATAATTGTTAATTTTTAAGTATTTAATAAATTAGAAATAACCAAACAAATGTTAGGTGCAAAGAAATGAGTAGACTTTTTAAAGCTTAAGATTTTAAATTTTTTTTTATTTCTACAATGTTTTGGGGGTGTTCGTGTCCAGTTTCATAGAAGTTTGAGTATAAAAAAAATTTTACTAGAAATATTAGAGACTGCTCAGAAGGATTGCCTTTATTTTAAATATAATATTAATTAGTTGTTTGTTGTTTTTATGTATTTCTTTAGCTTTCAAAGTAGTAGAAAAAAAAATCTATTTCTATTTGGACTAAATTGTAAAATGATATTTCCTTAAAGACATACATATGTACATACATCCATGTTAATTGAAAATTCAAAAAAATTTTTGGAAATTTTTTTAAGAAAATGAAAAGTTAAAAAAAATTTTTGGGAATTTTTGGAATTATACTCTAAATTTTTTTTGTATTTTTTTTTTTGGAAAATGCTTAAAATAAGTTTGGAAATTTTAGGTGTTATGCACAAAAAATGTTTGAGGATTCTTTTCTTTTGAAAATGTTTAAAAAAAAGTTTTGAAATTTTAGGTGTTATACTCCAAAATAAATTTTTGGAAATTTTTTTAAGCCAATGAAAAATTTAGACAATTTTTTGGGGAATTTTACACAAAACAGTTTTTAGGATTTTCTTTTTTTGAAATGTTTAAAAAAAATTTAAGAAATGTTATGCGTTATACTTCAAAATAAATTTTAGGAAATTTTTTTAGGCCAAAGAAAAATTAAAAAAGTTCCCAAACTTTCCAAAAATACTTAATTTTTTTTTTAAATATCATTGGTCTTAAAAAATTCTAAAACATTTCCAAATTTTTTTTTGATTTTTCAATTAACATCTTTAAAATTTGAAACAAAGAAAAAATGTTTGGAAATTTTAAGTATTACTAGTATCACTAGAGTCCGGACTTGTAGCCACATAATCAATTTACTATTCTAATCTAACTTGACTATTCTTGATTAAAGTATGGAAAAAAATATTTTTCCATTTTTTTAGAAAAACTTTTCCCCAAATTTAAAATTTTTGTGTTAATATCAGACATTTTCGAAAAGAACTCCACAAAAAATTTAAATTTTTTTTATATAATCCAAAAAATATATTCATTATTCATACATCACAACAAAAAAGAAAGAAAAAAAAACAAGAACAAGAGAAAGTAACAGAAATGGAAAGCAGAATCCGTAAACAAAAATCTTCAAGAATGGTACACGCCTTAAATACACGCGATAATAGTTCGCCGATGTTTTGTTCCCGTGCGAAAAGCGAAAGTTGCTAATGTCATTAAAAAAAACCACACTTCAACTGAGCAAAAAAAAAAGAAAAAATTAATAAAAAAGCAACAATAAAATGCTCATAAACAACAAAGTGACTCGCAAAATGCAAAAACTTTCATTCTGACCTAATATTGCCTCAAAATAAATACAACAAATATATATATAAATATATATTAATGAGAAACAAATGCAAAACATTTGCTCGCCGAGTTGCTGTGACTGGCGCTGTTTGTAGCTGACTGCCGTCATAGGTCGTGCTCGTGCTTCAGCTGGTGTCAGTCGGCAAGCGTTGGCCTCATTATGGCATATCTCGCTGCTGACTGGCACTGAGAGTGGGAACGACAACAGCACGATAACTACAACAACAACACTAGCATCAGCGGTAATCTGCAGTGGCACAATTTGTTTACTTGGGGTAAGATAAGATCTGCTTGGCAGATACCGAGTATTCCCCGTGAACCAATTGACTGATTTTATAAATAAAGAAGAACATAAAATGATATTAAGTTGTCTGCCTTCTAAATTGAGTTATCTGGTCACCAGAATCAAAGTTTTACTCGAAAAACACCRATCACTATTAAACTCGAGTTTAGGGCTAATGTGACTTTAAATAAATAAAGCGATTTGAAGTATTTCTGTTTTTTTATTGTGAACTTTTCTGTTTAGTAGCGTTTAGAAACCCCAAAATTATAATTAAACTCGAGTTTAATGCATTTTGTAGACTTTTCTAACTAAACTCGAAAAAAAAGTGTTTAGAGTGAATTTCAATTTTACATAGTGTTTAATGTTAAACACCGAAATTAAACTCGAGTTAAAGTTACAATATAAATTTATTTAAACCAACGCTCAAAAGTATGCTTTGAAGTGAATTTTGAATTTCARTTTTAAATAATGTTTAATATTAAATACTAAATACTAAAACTACACTCGTGTTTAAGGTGCAATATAATAAAAAAAATATATCTGAAAGTATGATTTGAACTTTTGTGAATTTTTAATTTAAATTTTAAGTAGTGTTTAATGTTAAACACCACAATTAAACTCGAGCTTAAGATACAATGTAAATTTATGTTTTTAAATGAATTTCGCTTGAATATTGAATTTAAATAAATTTTATCTTAAATGGTAAACACCAAAACTAAACCGAGTTTAAGATATAATACAAATTTATTTGAACAAATGCCCGGAATTATGTTTCGTGGTGAGTTTTGATTGAATTTCAGTTTTGAATAGTGCTTAATATTAAACACTAAAATTAAATTCGAGTTTAAGGAAAAATATAAACACCAAATATTAGATTATGATGTAAGTGTAATAGTGTTTAGTGCTAAACTCAAAAATCCTAGTTAAACTCGAGTTTAAGAAAAGAATTTTCTTATCTAAATAAAGTCCGTAATGTATGCTTTTGAGGTATTTTTAAGCAGTGTTTAAWGTTAAACACTAAAATGGTTGCTTAACTCGAGTTTAAGGAAAAATATTAGCTAACTTAATTAAACACAAAAAAGAGGTTTTTTTTTTATACATTTTGTACTTAAATTGTTTGTAGTGTTTAAAGTTAAACYCGTTTTAGTGTTTAATGTTAAACTCGAGTTTAGGAAAAAAATTTACTTAATAATCTTCATAAAATTTCATTCTAAAAGAATGTTATGTTATTTTTAAGCTTTGCTTACTGTTGCACACTAAAATTAACTAAACTCGAGTTAAAAAAAAAATTAAAAAAAATGGGAGGAAAAAAATTGAAAAGATTATCGAAATAAACACCGGAATTTTATTCTTTCCGCTAAGTAATTAAACTCGAGTTTTTAGCTAAAAACTAAATTATTATTAGCGGCTTTTATTTAACGCTATTTTTCAGCGCAATATTTTGAGTACACTACTACTTCTATTACAGCAGAAATAAATAAGCCACAGTGCTAAACTCTAAACTTACTTTCTCCAATTTTTAGCCCTTTGGGGTTAGCAGCAGGCGAAGCTACGCTATGCTATGTTTTTAAAAGTTAAACCCACAGTTTTGGCTCACTATACCTAAGCTCTTAAGAATGAATTAATTACTTTCGCTTTGCAAGCTATATTTGCAAGTACATAAATTAACGCCCACCAGAGCCACTGGACGACTTGACGGCAGAGAAATTTCAGAAATTCATTTTTAAATATTTTTTCCTTTTTAGCAAAATTCTGGTCAGAGCTACCCAAAATCACCGCAAATTGACGCATTCAGGCGTAGCAATATTTATACACATACACACGAATATATTTATAGCATTAATGTGGTTAAGAGACATCACACATACATACGCAACTGTTGCTGCTGTAGAGTTAGCGGCGAGTAGGTGAAAGTTATTGGCGTTAATGCGAAGCGGCGGCATGTTTTGTGGCGAAATCGCGGAAGTATTGCCAGGCATATATTCGCATTGTTTTGCTATTGTCGTTGTTGTTGTTTGCCATATGAAATTCTAAAAATTTGTTTGCTCATGGAAAAGGAATTTGCAGTCAATTAAGTGCAGTTTGGGAGTTATTTATGGAAGGAATGCTAAGTAAATGAAATATTGCGCGTGTGTGAGTTTTACATATGCGTGTGTGTATGTTTCTGTGTTGGCCTATGAGTTTGATGCTGTTTGAAAGAGTGAAATTGGCAGCCAAATTAAGCATATTTAATAACATTAGTCACACTGGACTACATTATCTTCAATCTGTTTTTTTTTATTGTTTTTGTAATTGAAAGGCATACTAATGCATGCATAATATATAGGCTTGTTTGCTTGCGCTTATTACACTCTCTGACGCATCGGGAATTTCACACTTCAAAAATCGAAAATCAAAAGTGTTTTAACAGTCGCGCTAACCGCCACTTTGCAACAGCTACCACTTGAGTCATCAGCTAACACACACACATACACACACGCACACAGGTACAGACCTTTCTTCTGACAGCTTGGCTATTTGCCTAGTCTGGTCAACACACCTTCCGTCACCTTTCGAATCGCTAGTTTTCTTCTTCCTTTCTTCGTACTTTATTTAGCTTACAATGTTTGTTGTAGTTTTTAGTGTGTGCTTCTTTTTTTGGAATACCACATGCAAGTGTGTCATGTGCTGCTACGCGGCCATTGTTTATGCATTTGGCAAAAATGTGTCACCCTATTTGGCTGTATAAARGAAAGTTTTTCTGCTATTTTGAATATTTTGTCTGTTATTTATGATCGGTTTTAGCGCCGCTTAGCTTTTAGCGTGTAAATGGAAATTGCTATTTGTTTGGTTGATTTCGAGTTTAGTTGGTTTTATAAATTTTTGAGCGGCGTTTTAATGTCGCGTGTTATATAATTGCTCGTTAACCGCTCTTTTTATGTGTTAGGGTGGTCTTGACTAATGTTTTCAGAGGCGCATTTTTGGGTCACAACAAATTAAATGGTAAAGATGGATAAAAATCATTTAGAAAACGTTGAAAAAGGAACACGAAAAATATTAATTTTTGCTTTGGTTCTCTTCTTTTCGGCATGGTTCTCWTCTTGGTTTCATCGACTCCGTTGCGATAAATAATCAGTCATCGAGAACTTGTCAATAGCGAAAAGTTTTATTCCACCAGGACAACCGCCAGAGCTTGTGTGGTGTATGTTATACACATTGCTTATTTTACATAAATTTGATAATTCTAACTGTGCTATGATAAAATCCTCATTTTAATACAAAAATAATAGATTTCATCAACTAAACCTTTTATATCAAGAATTTCTGAGTTTTCTAGAAATGTCTTCAGAAGTAATGATAGTTGATTAGATTTATAGGTATGTATATTTGACCATATCGATTCTAATATTACATATTTAAACTCTTTCTTTTTCAGATTTATATGTCAAGTGTCATAGAAAAATGTGAAGAGGAAGTGAAYAAGTGAAATTGTGAATGTGTTAAGTGAAAAAAAAATTAAAAAAGTAGTGTGATATTGCAACGTGTATGGAAATATCGCTGCAGAATATGGGAATCGGTAAGTGATGTATCATTCTAAAATTTTATTTTCAATATTTCTTATCAACTTCTATGTATTTAACTTTTTTTTATTTTATGTTCGCGATTTACGTTAATATCAATATCTTAATATATACCAATAGTAATGTAAATATCACTAATGTCACTGTTGTATACGCTTCGTTTAATTTGTTAATCTTGAAAATTATGCGTTCCATTAAATTCATCCAGATATATTAGGTTGTCAAAAAAGTCTTGGTATTGAATTTTCAATTGTTCATAAAATGTTTTTTGATGACTCATGCGCAGCTCTTGACCAATGCTACGGCTGCTACTATGTCGGTCTCTTTCGACCAATTCAGCTATTTTATCGCAATTTTCGACGACAGGCCGTGCGCGGTAGCGTGGCGCATCTTCGACCACCTCTACACCAGAAGGAAAACGTTGGAACCATTGTTGTGCGGTGGAAATGGAAACTGCATCGGGTCCATAAACTGCAAAAATTTTATTGGCGGCTTGAGATGCAATTTTGCCTTTATCGTAGTAGTACTGTAAAATATGCCGTATTTTCTCTTTATTTTGCTCCATGTTTGCGAGGCTATAACTCACGAACGACTTAAAAGAAACGACAATCAATCAAACACGTGTTAGCGCGTGAAATGAGCTTTCCAAAAAGGTATAGCATGATCCGATGGATGCGACGAATAAAACTAGAACTACGCGTTCTCAGCGCCAACTAGCGCAAATACCGCAAGACTTTTTTGACAACATAATATTTGTTTTTTACTTTCAATTAAATTGAAACAAAACCAACCAGATAGCAAAGCGCAAAACGTAGATAATAATCAAATCAGCTTTGGCAATCTTGTAGTACAATCGCCATCTAAAATGCAATAAAACGTTTCCTCAAAAAAAAAAAAAAAAAAAAAAAAAAAAAAAAAAAAAAAAAAAAAAAAAAAAAAAAAAAAAAAAAAAAAAAAAAAAAAAAAACAGACCAATGAGTTTTTCCCACACATTGCATACATTCAGCTTCCGCTGTCAGATATAACCAATATATAACTATTTTATAACCACTACATAGCCACTTTATAACCAAAGCTCAAATTTCGTGTAAAAATGTGTGATTACTATTATATTATTCTTTCTTCGCCTGTAATCATATTGAAAATGATTTTACGTTATGTTACATACTACGTGACGATATTCGGTATTTTCACTGGATGACACGTAATGTAATTATTCCGACTTACACTTTCCAGCATAGCATAACTAAATATTACGGTATTATGAGGTGGTTTTACTTCAAGGTCCTTTCTTACGGTTTTTTAAGCACTCACTGCTCTGCTTACATCGGCACACAATTCCGGAAACACTAGAAGTAGTGTCTTTTCAACAAAAAGAAAAGTGTTGGCTTCCTCTTTTCTATAAATCTAAGCGCTTTAAAATTATGATATACATAATAAGTTTCATTTATTATTTGTAAATGACATAAGGCCTCAGATTTTGTATTTTATAGTTTTTGAGACCACATTAACAGATCTTTAATTGTTTAATGAAGAAATCAATATATCTGAAGCTAAGTGAAGTCCAAAACGTACTTTTGACAAACCCTCATGGTCACATTTGTGTGTACCATGCTTTTCCTCTTCCTATAATATACATATATCCGTACTAGAATGTTTACTTTTCGACATTCGACAGGTTGGTTGTTTCCAAAATATTTTTTATGCTTTTGGTTTTTAATTTAGCAGATAGTATAGTAACACTAGAAAATATACCGCAAAGGAACAGGTATTTGCGTTATCAGAATAAACTTGACTTGTGTAGTCCAAAACCATCTTAACTTTTGTTTTTGTAAAGACTGAATCTGATTCCGCTTTGCTCGTTTCATTGGGAGTATTATTTTACGAGACGAGTTCCAAACTCAGCGCATAACCATGTTTCGCCTTCACACTTTAGCGATGTTTCTTGACTACACAGAACAAACTTGGCCTAAGACCACAAGTCGCCGCCTCAGCCATATTTAAAATAATCGTTTCTGTTCTTTACCAAGTGTATGGCGTTCAGAGAACTTTCCTCACTTGCCTGATCTTCTACACATAGCGCTATCAATAAGCTGAATACTATCAAATTGTCTACCTGTGCTTAAAATTCTGTTTGGTAGAGCCTAGTTGTGCTCACCACCTGATTGAGATTAAGCGCAGTGGCAGATAAAGATGTTTATTGTGATCTTTTATTTCCTTTGCTTGGATAGCCATTAGAAAAGTTAGTTTTTAAAGGTGGCTTTCTTTATTTTTATACCGTAGTGAAGTGTAGCATAAGCTCCTGATAAATACTGATTTTCCTCACATACATATATATTTATTTATGTATTTTATTTATATTTATGTAACAGGTAAGAAATAATCACGCTTTGACTTCGAAGCAGCGCTTTTTCCATCTTTTCCCATTTTATCTTACACATGTAGTCATATTTTTGTTATTGCACGCATAATAATTCCGTTGATGATATTTTTATTAAAAGCCCATCGCTCTCTTCTCATGCCACTGCAACAACAAACGCTTGTGATTTTCATTGATGATTTGTGCTGTTCGATCGATTTTAAAATGTATCGTAATTACAGCGGCATTGCTTTTCGCTGTTATTCTTTTAAACAGCTGCGCAGCGGTGACAACAAAACTTTAATTTTTTTCTCTTTTTTGTGGTACAAAAGCACGCTAGCCGCAATTGTTCTGTGGTGTAACTGAATTCGAGATGCTGCGGCGCGGCTGTGGCTTGTAAAACGGCAATACAAGGCGAGTGAAAAAACCGAGAAAAAGCCGAATGACAAAAAGCAAGCAAGAACTTTTACACTGTACATATAGAATTTCTCTTGCCGCAAACTGCTACCAGCCGCCGCAACCAGCAGCAGCCACGGTACTTGTTACGTTGCACGTGTTTTTTCAATGCACAACTGTGTGTATGTATAAATGCTCCGCTACATTTATGTGCGTGTGTGTGTGTGTGCGTTGTTGCTGGTGTTGCCTTTGTGAAAGCCACTTGCGTAATACGGTCATTGACATTGTCAACTGATGCTGTTAGCATTAATGGCTGCCATTGCTGTGACTTTTGCTACCGCTTTAATGCGAGTTGTTGCTTATTTTGTATTTGTTGTTGCCATCGCACCGCTTTTTCAAGCGCACAAATGCTTGTCACATCGTCTACTTGTTGTTGCTGTTATTATGGCCTTTTTTTCCTTCTCATTTGTAGAACAATTGCAACGGAAATGAATCGCCGCTGCTCATTGTTGCTGGTTTTGTTGTGCTACGTTGTCTTCTGGCAACTGGTCATTTCAGATTTCCATTCAACTGTCGTTCTTACGGTTTCGCGCTATAAACGCGCACATACTTGTTTCTTGTTATCCCCTCTTTCGCTGTCGCATTGCCAGCATTCGGCTTTGTTGCAGATCTTCTACTTCTACTCTTGAAGTTATCTTTGTAAGAATTTAGCATGCTTGCTGGCGTTAGCAGTGGCATCTTTAGGCATTTAGCTAGCAATTGTTGCGTTGTGTATTTTTAGTGTGGCTGGTTAGCTTGAATAGTTTGCTCGTCTTTGTAATTTTCGCAGCGCCTTGGCAATTAAAATAGCTGTTGGCCGATGTATTCTTATAGCTTCCAGTTAATTATGGCGTATTTTTGTAACAGAAATTTTTCAAATCGAACTTAAGTTTTGAGGAGAGTATATGGAGGAAATGGAAGCTGCTATATATTCTCATAATTTTCTTTTCTTTTCGTAGACTAGAAATTTTGCATTAAAAAGCATCTCGTCATTCAAGTACAATGGTGATTGAAAATAAGTAGCTCGCTTAATATACAAAAATAGCTTAGGTCGATTTGAGTGAAGGAAGGTGTTAGGCAGCTTAGCAAATTTTGTTTATATCATCTCTCTCCCTCTTCTCTCTTCCAAGTATTGTGACTAACTTATTCGAGACTCGAACCTATGTTCCGACTTGAAAAACAGCTCGGAGACGGAAATTTCATATTGAATCACAATTTTATCAAATTTTGAAGCTTCCTTCTTTGAGCTATTATTTAAGTTGGAATGTCGGTCTCGAGTCGCGAATAAGTTAGTGAAAACAATTGGAATTTTTCCCAACAACTTACAATGACTTAAAATATTTTTTTTTTTTTTAGTTTTTGCATATACATATATATAACAACCATATAGCCATAAAATGGTAT